GCAAATTCAGGAAAACTGAAATCATAACAAGCATTTTCTTGGACCACAAGGGTTTGAAACTAGAAACCAACATCAAGGAAACACTCAAAAACATACAAACTCATGGAGACTGAATAGCACACTACTGAACAATGAATAGGTCAATAATGAGATAAGAGAAGAAATCACAGAGTTTCTGGAAACAAAGGAAAATGAACACACAACAGACCAAAACCATGGGGCACAGCAAAGGCAGTCCTGAGAGACAATTTCATGGCAATACAGGCCTATCTAAAAAAGAGAGAAACATTTCAAGTACATGACCTAACCCTCCAGCTTCAAGAGCTGGAGAAATAACAACACACAAATCCCAGAGCAAATAGAAGGAAGGAAATAATCAAGGTCAGAGCAGAACTGAATGAAATAGAGACTAAAAGAACAATTCAAATGACCAACCAATACAGGAGCTGGCTCTTTGAAAAGATAAAAATCAAGAAGCCTTTAAACAGACTCATCAAGAAAAAAAGGAAGAGGACCCAAATAAATAATACGAGAAATGAAACAGGAGAAATAGCAACTGATACCACAAAAATACAAAGGATTGTAAGACATTACTATGAACAATTATATGCCAAGAAATTTGAAAACTTCAATGAAATGGACACATTTATAGAAAATTATAACCTTCCGACACTGAGTGAAAAAGAACCAAAAAGGCTGAACAAACCAGTAACAGCTGGTGAAATTGAAGCAATAATCAAAAAACTCACAGCACACAAAATCCCTGGACCAGACGGTTTCACTGGAGAATTTTACAAAACATTTAAGGCAGAGCTAATCCTGTCCTACTCAGACTATTCCAAAAAATTGAAGAGGAGGGAAGACTCCCAGACTCTTTTTATGAGGCCAACATCATGCTAATCCCAAAACCGGATAAAGACACAACAAAGAAAGAAAACTATAGGCCAATATCACTGATGAACAAAAATGCTAAAATCCTCAACAAAACACTGGCAAACTGCATCCAGCAATACACTGAAAGGATCATCCATCATGATTAAGTGGGATTCATTCCAGGGACGCAAGGATGGTTCAATATTCTCAAATCAATGAACGTAATACATCTTATAAACAAAAGGAAAGACAAAAACCATGTGATCATCTCAATAGATGTGGAAAAAATATTTGATAAGGTACAGCACCCATTTATGATAAAAAAAAACCCCTCAGCAAAATGAAAATAAAGGGGGCATACCTCAACATAATAAAGGCCGTATATGAAAAACCTATAACCAACCTCATACTCAATGGGCAAACACTAAAAGCTTTCTCACTATGGTCAGGAAGAAGACAAGGATGTTCACTTTCATCATGTATATTCAAATAGTATTGGAAGTCCTAGCTACAGCAGTCAGACAAGAAAAACAAATAAAAGGCATCCAAAATAGAAAGGAGGAAGTAAAACTATTATTGTTTGCAGATGACATGATAGTATACATAGAAAACCCGAAAGACTCCACCAAAAACCTACTCGACCTAACAAGTAAATTTGGCAAAACAGTAGGATACAAAGTCAATATTCAGAAATTGAAGGTATGTTTGTATACCAACAATGAAATATCAGAAGCAGAAATCAAGAAAAAAGCCCCATTTGCTATAGCAACAAGAAAAATAAAGTACCTAGGAATAAATTTAGCCAAGGGAATAAAATACCTGTATGCAGAAAAATATACAACACTGAAGGAAGAAATTAAGGAAGACCCAAATAAATGGAAGCATATACCGTGTTCATGGTTTGGAAGAATTATCATCATCAAAAGGTCCACACTACCGAAAGCAATTTATAGATTGAATGTAATCCCTATTAAAATACCAATAATGTATTTCACAGACATAGAAGAGACATTTCAAAAATTTATATGGAACCATAAATGACTCCTAATAGCTGCAGCAATTTTGAGATAGAAAAACAAATCAGGGGGGATCACAATACTGGACATAAAACTACATTACAAGGCCACTGTGATCAAAACAGTCTGGTACTGGTACAAGAACAGCCACATAGATCAGTGGAAAAGAGAAAGCCCAAAAATAAATCTATGTCACTATGGTTAACTAATATTTGACCAAGGAGGCAGGAGCATAAATTGAAGTAAAAATCGCCTCTTCAACAAATGGTGTTAGGAGAGCTGGATAGCTACATGAAAAAAATTGAAATTTCACCACCAACTGACACCATACACAAAAATAAACTCAAGATGGATAAAAGACTTAAATATAAGTTGTGACACCATAAAAGTCCTAGAAGAGAACATAGGCAGGAAACTCTCAGATATCCCACGCAGCAATATTTTCACTGGTATGTGTCCTAAAGGAAGGGACATAAAGGAAAGAATAAACAAGTGGGACCTCATCAAAATAAGAAGCTTCTGCACGGCTAAAGAAAACATCAGCAAAATGAAAAGGGAGCCAACCGTATATGGGTTTGATATCCGAAATATATAAAGAACTTACACGACTCCACATCAGGAAGACAAACAATCCTATTAAAAAATGGACAAAGGACCTGAACAGACACTTCCCCAAGGAAGGTACAGATGGCCCTGAGATGTATGAAAGGATGCTCAGCATCACTAACCATCAGAGAAATGCAAATTAAAACTACAATGAGATACCACTTCACATCAGTCAAAATGGCCATCATAAACAGATCAACAAACTACAGGTGATGGTGAGGTTGTGGGTAAAAGACAACCCTAGTACACTGTTGGTGGGAATGCAGACTGGTGCAGCCACTGTGGAAAACAGTTTGGAATTTCCTCAAAAAGCTAAAAATGGAACTGCCTTTTGGCCCAGCGATTCCACTGCTGGGATTATACCCTACGAATCCCAAAACACCAATTCTAAAGAACGTACGCACCCCAATGTTCATAGCAGCACAATTGACAATAGCCAAGGCCTGGAAGCAACCTAAGTGCCCATCAGTAATCGAGTGGATCAAAAAACTATGGTAGGTTTACACAATGGAATACTACACAGCAGAAAGAAAGAAAGAGCTACTACCCTTCATGACAGCATGGATGGAACTAGAGAGCATTATGCTAAGTGAAATAAGCCAGGGGGCGAAATACAAATATCATATGATCTCACCTATATGTGGAACTTAATCAACAAAACAAACAAGGAAGGAAAACATAACCAGCACAAGTGAAAGAAAAAAGAAACCAACAGAATCACGAGTGAATAAGGGAGGGGTGTGACGGGGAAGGGGAAGGGAAGGGTCAAGTTAAGGAACATGTATAAAGGACCCATGGACAAAGGCAAAGTGGGAAGGGAGTGAGGGGGGGAGGCGGGGAGGTGGGCAGGGGAAAGTGGTGGTGGGAAAATGGAGACCAATGTATTTGAACTATAAAAAAAAATTAATTCCAAATCTGTTCTTATTCTGATTTATATTGGAAAGGCATTTTAAAATAAAAACCTTCCCTATCAAAAAGCAATAAAAAGAAGTTTTAAGTTCAGACCATCTTACGTGGTTACTTTGAGTCTGTTAGTCCACCATGCCGGCCTGTCCTGAGGTTGTACTTAGTATGTGACCCCTTTTTCCTCTGAAGTTCAAATACATAATAGAAAAAAAAAATTCTGAGTATATTTATACATCAAATTTGTGAAGCAGGTTCTGTTACCCTAGCTGGGCTGTTTCCAATTTTTCATTTTATGGCATGTATAAACTAATTACTAAAATTCTGCAGCACATCAAAAAATGTTTTGCCAATCTTACAAAAAAAAAGAAATAGGTGTAATTTTGATTCCCTTACACCAGATGGATATTGTTGTGTTGTCTGTTGCCATTTTTTTAACTTGACAATCTAAGGTTAAAGAGGTCAGTGCCTCTGACTAAATAGTCTGGTACTGTATGTTTTAAAATTTCTTGTGGCACACCAGTGACTTACCAGTTGAAATTTGCTGCCTTAGCTAAGTCGTTTTCTTTCTTTCTTTTTTTTTTTTTTTTCATTCAGAAACTTAGTAGTAAGTGCCTGCAGTCTGCTAGGCAGTGTCTAGAAATTACATGTTTCTACTGACATGAAAGAATGCTTCACAGTAACAGTTAGGGTTGTTATTAACTTCCGTTAAGCTTGAAGGAGGCCTCAGTGAGAGCGCGATATCTGAGCCAGGCCAGGGCAGCACTCAGGCTTCTGCACACCACGCTCCCAAGTGCTCAAGCTGCTTCCATAGCAAACCACTGAAGAGTTCTTGATTTCTGGTCTTCCAGAGGGGCCCATCATGCTTTTAAGTTCAGTTAGGTTGTGCTGAAGCTGATTCTTCTGTCTGTCTGAGGTTATAAAGCTTCTCTTGCGGATCTCCCAAAGTCCCCTTGTTTTTGAAGCTTGGGTTGGCATCTGCAAAATAAGTTGTGGTATCTCATAAGGTCCCTTCCAGGCAGTAATCATAACAATAATCATGAAGCCAGGCTTAGTGTTGTTCGCTGATTGCCATACATCACCAATTTACCCAAAGTATGCTACTGTCCCCATTTTACAGAAGAGGATTCCAGACTGAGTAATCAGCTCACGTTCACTGTGTTCGGGTATGCAGGTCTGGGGCCGGTATGTTTCCAAAGGCTGCCCTTCCACTACACAAAGCCCAGGTAACCTCTTTAGTTTCTCTTTAGATTTTGGAGAACAGGATATCGTAGTTACAGTGCATTGATACTTACCCAGTTGAGGCTTCCAGATCAGGGGGGGTATAGCTTTCTTTCCCAGTCAGAAAGTGCCACCTGTATACTTCATGAAGACATCATTTATTGGACAGTATGGGCTAAGCCAAGGCCAGAAGTGCTGTCACCACCAAAACCGTGTATACGACTCCGAGTTCTCGCCAATCGGTTCCCCTACGAAAAAGAAAGTAGTGGTCGGGCCCTTGGTGATGACGTACTTTCCTGCGCCAAGCGGCTGTGGAGGCGGGGTTTGAGGTGGGCGGGGCGCAGGGACCTTGTGGCTGGAGCTAAGGCGGAGGAGGGCTCCTCAGCTTAGGTGGCGGCTGGGCTGATGCTCCTGGCAGTTGCGACTGGTCGCCCCCGCTGCAACCCTTCCCTCGGTCGGTCCTCCCCGCCCCCAGCCTCGGTTTCCAGACCCGCAGGCCGCTGGGCGCGGAGCCCATGAGGGAGCGGGCCGCACCGCCGCCTTTGCGGCGTCGCAGTGCTGCTGAAGCGCCCCAAGCCGGCTAAGGCATGGCCGTAGCCTGAGCTTGGAGCCGGAGAAGGAGCCGTCAGTACCCGAGGCGGGAACCATGTCTGAGAAGCGCGCGGGCGCGCAGGCCGCAGGCGGCAGCTGGGTGAGCGTGAGGATCCGCTGCGTTGCCCAGATGTAGGCCGGGAGTCAGGGGACGGGAGGTTAAGCTGATCTCGGTCAAAATCTGGAGTCTCCTGGGTGCGGGGCACTGACACTGAGACAGGAGCGCGACAGTCCGTGGGCTAGGGCAGGAGCTTCGGTTCCGGGTGAACCTACCTAATTCATCCCTAGGCATTTCTATAGCCCTGCTCATTGCTAGGCGAAGCTATGTTTTGGTTATTGTTTGAAAGGTGCCAGACGGGACAGTGAATGTAAATAATTTGGTTCTTTCTCCATTTTCCATTCCTGTGAGATAGTCAGTATCATTTTTATGGTACAATTTCTGGTCAGACTGCTTAGAGGATGTGTGGGAAACCTTTAGAACCGTCATTCGGCTCTCGAGGGGAAGTTGGCGTTGGAGACCGGCAGTCCCTTTCTGCTCCTTGATTCTAAGCAGTCGCAGGAGCACTTGGGGAATAGGATTTCAGACAAAACCGAGGATCCCAGGACCTGGCAGAAGAACATGTTTCTTTTTACAGTTTAAATGAGGTTCATATGGCATCTAAAGCCCTCATGTAATTGGCTTGGATTCAACAGAACAGGTTTTGTCAGTGGCATTATGGTTTCCCATGGTGGAACACTAAGCGTAGAGTCGGTTGTTTCTTAACGATATTTTCATTTCGCTTCTTTTCCTTCGTCTGTTTAGAACAGGAAATATAGAAACGTTACAGTAAACAGAAACTAACGCTAAGGAAACGTTTTTTTCAAAGAAAAACAGGAATTTTAGAAAATTAAATATATGGTAATCGGTTTTAGCTTTTTCGCTTACCTACCTAAATTTTCTTTTAAAGAAAGCTAAATGATTGTATTTGGTGATATGAGTTCCCATTAGTAGAACTGAGAGGACAGGTGAAGTGGGAGGAGTCCCTAAGTAGAACGGAGGCAGTAGAGCTGGTTTCTAGTCCTGATTCTACCAGCTCTAGTGTACACCAGGCAGGGTTCTGACACAGCCTTGCCACTCAATGCATAATTTGTCAAAAGAAGCCTTGGTAATGTTGAAGGCCCCTCCCTGCCAAAGTGACTTATTATTTTTGAAAAAGTTTGGGAGGGAGTGGAATTCTCATTTCAAAGCTAGTATTTCTGGAATGTGGAAAATTTATTTTGGTAGGAGAGGAAATTTTACAGAATTGGTTTTCCTCGTTTTGTTTCTGATTATGGAAAAAGTAGACTGGTCATCTTCCTGCCCCCTAAACAAAACCAAACTGCCAGATCCTCTTTCTGTTTTTCTTTTGAATTGATACACAGTAATTACAAATCACTGACCAAACCAGTAGCCTAAGAGGTAGTGACCTTCATTCCTTTGCATTCGTGCAACATTCAGCTACATTACTAAGTCTAGCTAAGTTTACCAAGTAAAGGTTTTAGGTTTTATCCTTCTCTGCATTCCTGTGGTTCAGTTCCTCAGCATTTTTGACCTAGATTTTGTCTGTCTCTTGAGACAGTTGCTTACCTCACCATCAGTGTGCCTTCCACAATATGTATTGCAATACTAGTGTAATCTAACATGTAAATACAATCATTACTCCTCTCCTTGATTTTTCATTGGCCCCCCTTGGCTTTTAGGATCAAAAGATAACCTGGCAGGTTGAAGCATTATAGCATGGTGATTAGATGAGGATGCTTGGAATCTCAGTTCCCACCTTTTATTAACTGTATAACTTTGGGGAAGTTACATAATCTCTCCGAACTGGTAACATTTACCTCAGAGGATTGTGAAAATTACTGCAACCTGGCATTTAGTAAGTCCTCAGTAAACATTAGCTATTACTTTCCTTATTTCTCAATATTTTTGGTATGAATGATTGGTCAGAATGTATAGGGGTTCCCTGACTTATAAAAGTATTCAGTCATCTCTTATTTACTAATCTATATAGGAACTAGAACCCATCCTAAAAATTAAAATTGTTAATTGTGTGCTTAGGACAGGAACTTTTGAGGTGTGTTTACTTAAAGAAACCTAGTCAATTTATTCCAGAATTCCTTCTCTGAATCCGGATGCTAATTTGGGCACAAGTAGATTTCCTGTGCATTCTTTCCTCATTTCTAATGGTACATAAAGTCAGTATTGGTAAATTGCAGTGAATACTGAAAATGACTTTTCTTGGTGCTTGCTATACTTAGTGAAATAACTAGCATGGGCAGGTGGCAGAATCCAGTCACTGGTGCCTTTTTGGAATGTGTGGTGGCTGTGAAAGCAGTGAATGCCTTTAATCCTGTATGTTCATGTCATATGCCAGTACCTCCAAATTATTCATCTTTCCTGCCTGCATTTTCTGTTCAATATCACTTTCAGGTGCTATTTTCTGCAGCTCCCAGGACTACATCTTATTTTGTTTGAATTTCCTGACAGCTTGATTTCATGACTCAAGGTCTTAGATGTCTCTAATAATCTATGGAAACAAAGACCATGTATAAGGAATTGGCTGACAACTTTTTTCTACCTTGTTTGGCAAAGAGATGTATTGACCTTAATAATAGAAAGGAATCAAGTATTTATTCCAAGCAATTATTACCTTCAGGAAAAGGGAGGTGTGAATTATTTTTTATATAGTGCAACGCGTGGATGGAAGTTCTTTTTCTGCGTATATATAACCAATTGTTGCATCATTTGTTGAAAACACTTTTTTTATTCACTGTATTGCTTTTGTGACTTTGTCACAATTATCCATATATGTGTCAGTCTGTTCTGCATTCTCTGTCATCTATTTGTTTATCTTTACATCAATATCATACAGTCTCTGTTACTAGAAGTTCATAATAAAACTTGAAACAAATAGAGTTGATTCTATTAACCTTGTCCTTCTCTTTCAAAATTGTTTTGGCTTTTCTGGGTTCTCTGTATTTTAGAATTAACTTATGAATTTCTACAAAAAAATTAAAAGGCTGCTGGCATTTTCATTGGATTTTGTTAACCCTGAATCATTTTGGGGAAAATTGAAAACAATATTGAGTGTTCCCTTTCATGAATGAGGTTATTTCTCCATTTATTTTAGATCTTGAATTTCTCTCAGTTGTGTTTTGTGGTTTTCAGTGGATGGTTCTTTCACAACAGTTGTCAGATTATTCCCTATTTCATATTTTTGATGCTATGGTACATGTAATGTAAATGTAATATAAATGCAAATTCTTAAAAATGTTTAAGTTCACAATTGTTTGTTGCCAATATGTGGAAATAGAGCTGATTTAAGAAATATTTTTAATTGCCATTATATATCCATAACAAAATTTAGCATTTAACAATTTTTAAGTATTTAGTTCACAGTGTTAAGTGTGTTCACATTGTTGTACAACCAATCTTTAGAACTTTTTTATCTTTTAACACTTAAACTTCGTGTCCGGTAAACAGCGACTCCCGTTTACTCTATCACCTGTCCCCTAGTAACCACCATTCTGCTTTCAGTTTCTGAGTTTGACTATAGATACCTCATATAAGTGAAATCATATGCAGTTTGTCTTTTTCATGATTAGCTTATTTTTTTACACATGATATCCTCAAAGTTGTTGGCACATGTTGTTTTCACTGTTGAAGGCATGTTTGGCATATGTGTTTTTTTCCTTTAAGACAAAATAAGATTTCATTTTATGTATATGCAACTTTTTGTTTTTCCATTAATCTGTGAATGATCACTTGGGTTCTTGTATGTTTTCACTACTGTGAGTAAGGTTGCTGGAACATGACTATAAATACCTCTTTGAGATCCTGCTGTTAGTTCTTATGGATATCTGCCCAGAAATGGAATTTGTGGGATAACTGGGTGATTATGTTTTGAATTATTTGAGGAATCACCATACTGTTTCCCATGTGGCTCCACAATTTTACATTCCCACCAACATGGCACTAGTGTTCTAATTTCTTCACATCCTCACACCTTATTTTCTTGTTTTTGTTTGTTTGTTTGTTGACAGTAGCCATCCTGACGGGTGTGAGGTGATATTATGTTTTTCATTTTGCATTCATCTAACAATGATGTTGAACATTTTTTCATATGCATGTTGGCCATTTGTATATCATCTTTGGAAATACGTGTATTCAAGTCCCTTGCCCATTTTTAAGTTGGGTTATTTGGTGTTTTTTTGTTGTAAAGTTGTAGAAGTTCCTTGTATATTCTGGATATTAACTCCTTGGATATATGCTTTACAAATATTTTCTCCACAGATTGTCTTTTCACTCTGTTGTGTGTGTCCTTTGATTTACAGAAATTTAAAAGTTTGATAAAGACCAATTTAAAGTTTGTAATTTTGATGAAGCCCATATTTGTTTTGTCTTTTTTTTTTTTTTTTTCACTTAGAGTTTGGAGTCGTGCCTAAGAATCTATTTCTAAATCCAAGATTTATCTTTATGTTCTAGGAGTTTTAGCTGAGGTCATTCATCCATTTTGAGTTACTTTTTATCTGGTATGAAGTAGGGTTCCAGCTTTATTCTTGTTTTTCTGCTTTCGTTTTTATTTATTAATTTAATTATATTTTATTTTTTATGCTATTACAGTTGTCCTGATTTTTCTCCATTTGCCTCATTCCACCCAGCACCCCCCATTCCCTCAGGCAGTCCCCACACCTTGTCCATGCTCATGGGTCATGCATATATCTTCTTTGGCTACTATATTCACTATGCTGTATTTTACATCTCTGTGACTATTCTGTAACAACCAGTTTGTACTTAAATCATTCATCTTTTTTGCCCATCTCTCTGATGCCCCTCCCATCTTGTAACCATTAGAACATTCTTACTCTGTTTCTATTCTGCTTGTATGGTTTTTTTGTTTGTTTTTTAGATTCAATTGTTGATAGGTAGGTTATTTATTGCCTTTTTATTGTTCATATTTTTTATTTTCTTGTTAAAGAAGACCCTTAACATTTTATATAATACTGGGTTGGTGGTGATGAACTCCTTTAGCTTTTTCTTTTCTGGGAAGCTCTTTAACCTGTCCTTCCATTCTAAGTGAT